TATTGAACATTTCGAAGTTTGCAATCGTTAGGTCTCGAATAACATGTAAAATTGCCAATTACAATTAACTGTGATTTCTTCCCGTTTATTTTTCTTTAACAAAACATTGTCTCAAACGAAAACAGAATTCAAGATTAGCGTACGGCTACCTGAGGTAAAGAGCACAAGTACCACACTCAATGTGTAGACAGCAACCATTAGAACGAGCGCAGCATTGGTCAAAGGTTGCAATAACAGAGATGGCATTGCCGACAGTGCCTAAAAATTTTAAAGCATATATCGGAAAGATAGCTTTTAAAAACAATGAGAAGATCAAGCCAACCCTTGATGCTCCCTTGAAAAGCCGAATCATTTTCTTGCCTCGCGGTAGAACACACCACACCGCAGTGACAATGAATATCTAAAAAAATAAGTTTATAAAGAAAGGGATACTGGTGATGAAGTACACGAAAGTTCTACTGGTTAATATAGAATAGTTAAACCACATATAACATGTTCCGCAGTCGGTTTAAAAAATTTACAATGATGAGAAACTAAGGAAAAAATTGCAACTAACCGAAATTACCGTAGTTCCAAGGCCCATTGCAAAAAGCGTTGCTATCGTAGTATTTTCAAAATTGAACATTGTTTCTAAATCGATGTCTTTAAACAGCACAGCCGCAGTGATATGACGAGGTTTTGATGTAGGAGTCAAAGTAGGTGCGATGGCTTCGGTAACGGTATCATTGCTTCTTGGCGGCAGTGATTTCTTGTACGCCTTCCAGAACACATACCACGCAGTTCCGGAGAATCCTACAATATGGTTAAATCTGAGTGCCCTATAATCTCAAGGCCAAGAGCTTAACAACACCCACCTATAGCCAAAACAGCGACTGCCAAGTATACGAAATAAACGATAACTGCAGCAAAGAACCTTAATAAGGCTATCGAGAACAAAGCGAGAACTGAAAAAAAAGAAAGTGACTGGTCAAATTCTTAAACTTTTTCACAAACCACTTTTGCAATTAAGAAAGAAAAATTTGCACCTGGCTGCACCAACCTAATGCCACCAAACACATTTGGAGTAGAAAAGGAGAGGAATCAATCAAGTCATGGAGATATCCGCGAATCCAGTCTAGTTCAACCACCTCAAAACTCATTCTTGTAAATGCGGGATGATGGAACTTCTAAACTTAGCACACACCTTTTGAAGTAGATCTTTACCGAAAGTAATGAGATCTTCGGGGATGCAACGATTCATAATACTAATACTGTAAACAAGCTACTGGAGGAAAATGGAGATGTCTAACAACGAAATCCTCTGTACATATCATTTTAGATTTAACGTTTTAATGGTTTTAAGAAATGGCGAACCTTTTGAAAACCGGCAGTTTTGGACAAACACCAAATCGCGGTTTCTGCTTTGCAGCATCTACTGCCATATTGTAATCAACACAAAGGCTGTTATTCTCCTCAACAGCTAATTTCTTGATACCTAAAGTATGAGAGAGTGAGTACATTCGACAGTGTTATCCACATTAAATATTAATTTCTAAATATAAAAAGGCGTTCCCAACTTTGAGAATTTTGTTGATTGCGCTACGTTGTACTTTGCATTGAGAAGCATTACGCGAATTACTAGGGAGGAAACAAAATACAAGCTGTTCCAACCAACCTGCATAACTTGTTACAGTATCCTCGGGACAACTTCGCACGCATGTCCACACAGTATCTAG